TTGAAGACACAGGGGTAGGCAGAGTCTTCATGAACAAAATCCAACTGCACAGGAAACACTTCAAAGAATCAACAACTGGGATCTCATCCTATTAGAAAGCTTTTGTACTTCAAAAGAAATCACCAATAGAGTGAAAAGACAACCCACAGAATGGGAAAACATTTTAGCTAACTGTCTCTCAGGCAAAGGACTCATATCTAGAACATATAACAATTGAAAAAAAAAAAGCCCCGGCCCCCCCAAATTCCAACACCCAATCCAAAATAGGCATCTGAGATGAATACCCACTTCTCAGATGAGAAATAAAAATGACAAATAAATACATGGAAAAATGTTCAATAGTAGCTGGGGATGTAGCTCAATGGCACAACCCCTGCCTTGCAAGCATGAGGGAGAGAAAGGAAGGAAAGGAAGGAAGATGTTCAACCGAAAAAAAGATGCTCAACATCATGGATCATTCAAGAGATGCAAATTAAAACAACACTGAGATGCCATCTCACCCCAGTAAGAATGGCTACCATCAAGAAATCAACCAACAACAAATGCTGGAGGGGCTGTGGGGAAAAGGGAACTTTTCTTCACTGTTGGTGGCAATGTAGACTGGTGCAACCACTTTGGAAATCAGTGTGGAGATTCTTCAAAAAATTAGGATTAGAGGTTCCATTTAACCCAGCTATTCCCCTTCTGGGTATTTTCCCAGAAGAATTAAAAACATCATTCCACAGTGATACATATGCACTAAGTTCACAGCAACACAATTTGTCATAGCAAAATTTTGGAGACAATGCAAATGCCCAACTGAGGAGTGGATAAAAAAGATGTGGTATTTTTATACAATGGAGTATTATTCAGGTATAAAGAAAGATAAACTCAAGGCTTTTATAGGTACATGGATGCAACTAGAGACCATACTCATAAGTGAAATAAATCAGACCCACTTGTGTAAACACCATATTGTCTCCCTTGAGTAAGAACCTGAGTGAATAAAACTGAAAGGTACAATAGATATTGTGAAAGGGAAAGAGACTGCTCAATAGGAAAAAACAACTGGGATGAGGGAAAGGAGAAAAGAAAGAAGGAAAGGGAAAATATATATGTATGTATATACAAGATAGCTAATTGTGCTACTAATTTCTATTGGTTTATTGAAAGAAACAGTTGTTTGTCTGATCAATCTTGCATACCTATACCTGGTAATCTGAGTAACTACTTTGAAGATAACAATAAGTAATACAACAACCATTACTGATTTTCTATCATCTTGCCTTGAAATTCTGTCATTTTTATAGCTTTTGTCTTTTTTGTTGTTGTTTTTAAAATAAAAAAATAAAATAGTTTGTTGCACTCTCCTTTCCCTTGCTCAGTTGAAAAAGAGTTCTTTCTTCCATGCATGAAAACCTTACATGTATACCTAGCATTAAGTACTTGGAATTCAATGCTGAACAAGATATGGTTTCAGCCTTCATGGAGTTGTCCAAACGAAGATACACAGAGTAAAAAATAAAATTATAACACAGTAAAAAATCTCTAAGAGAAATACAGGATATTATGGGAAACTTGAAGGAAGTAATGCTTAAGCTGAGCAGTTGAAGACAGTTCCTGAGAGCTACAGTAGGATGTAGTGATGAGACTGAAGCACACAGATACCAAGTAATAAGGGTTCATATTAAGCATTTTGTACCTAAATTGGAAGTGGTAGAAGCTTTATTCCAGGAGAGTGGTGTCATGATGCAGACCACTACGAAGCAGACCTGAGCAGGACTTAATCAACTGGCTTTTCCTGTTCACTTGTGAATCTGTCCAAGGCCTAGGCTCCTTACCTGGAAATGGCAGACTCAAAGTGAACCTCTCTGAGTTACTAATCTCTTCTAAAACTTGTAGTGGTGGATGAAGCTAGAAAGCCTCAAAGGATAAGACAAGATCACAGCAAGGGACACCCGGATCAGATCTCAACTAGATAAAGACTATAGCCTCAGGCATCTCATTCTTCAGTGGATTAACTTAATACCTTACTTGAAGTCCTTGAGTGGTTCTGCCCTTCTTGCATACTCCCCCCTCCTTTCTTCTGATAATCAAATAAACATGGGCAAGCCAGAGGAGGTCTTGGTCTTAGCCTTGAGAGAATTTTGAATTATGTGAGAGGGCTTTGATCCTCACGGAGCCCTGAAATAATTCCGTATGTCTCTTTTTATTTAACCTTTACCATACACTCATTCAGGAGATTGTGGACCTGATCAGCCCGCCATAATTAAGGGATATTATTAACCCCAGAGTGTCAGAATCAGATTTACATTTCCAACTTTGCAGCGTGTGGATTGAATTTGAGGAAAACAGGGAGCAGAAAAGCAACAGGTGCTTCTGGACCAATCCTGTTGAGGTGGCTGCACACTCTACAACAGCAGCAGTGAATGAGCAAAATACAGAGAATAATCTGAAAGTATACAAAATTTGAGTGGATGAGGGACTCAAGGATTTTTGGAAAGTCTATCAATAGGCATGATCTTTAAAAAGGAAGTAGCATAGGAAAAGTAGCATAGCCAAGTAGGTTTGAAAAATACTACATTGAGCATGAAAATGATTACTATTATTTGTCAGAAACTTCATGCTGTTCCTTGAGTAAGATAAAGTCAAACTGTAACATGCTTTTCAAATATTTGATTACAAAACCTTTATTTTGCAGAACACCTTGTAAGAAGACTAATGTCCCACAGAGCACTCTGGGAGAAAATGCTGTTTCTGCTTTTACAGTTGTGTTATGTAATCCTTTGAGGATGTCTTGTTTTATCCCTTTACAGAGCACAGGTATTTATTTTGGTTGCCTCAGCTGGGTAAAGTTGAAGAGAAAAAGATCAACTGAAATTCTGTAAGGATTCCCCCATAAAACCATTCAGTGATGCTGGGAAAACTGGCTTTCTACAAGCCGAAGTCTTAACCTAGACCTGTGTCTCTCACCATTTACTAAGCTAAAAACGATGGGTCAAATATCTAAATAAATAGAAACACTTAATTTGCCAGAAGATAGAATAAGTAAACTCTTGAAGACATAGGTGTACACAAAAATATTATAAACAAAATCCCACTTGCAAAGGAAATATTACAAAGAATCAACAAATAGAATCAAATCAAATCAAAGCTTCTGCACTGTGAAGGGAACCCAACAGTGAAGAGATAAACTGCAGAATGGGAAACATTTTTTCCAGTAACTCTTCAGACAGAGGACAAATATCTAGAATATATAAAGAACTAAAAAAAATTAGACCACTTCAAATTTAAAGATCCAAAAACAGGCAAGTCAAATGAACAGAAGTATGATGATGAAGTACAAACAGCCAATAAATACATGAAACAATGCTCAGCATCCCTGGTCATTACAGAAATGCACATTAAAACAATATTCAGATTCCATCTCACACCAGAAAGAATGGCCATCATCAAGAAATTTGCCAAAAAGCAATGCAGGCAAGGGTATGGGAAAAAGTAACACTTCTCTATTATTGGTGGGAGTGTACGTCAACACAACCACTATGAAAAGCAACATGGAGATGCCTTCAAAAACTAAAACTAGGCTAGGCATGGTTGCACATGCCTGTAATCCCAGCACTTGGGAGGCTGAGGCAGGAGGATTGCTGCGAGTTCAGAACCAGCCTGGGCTACAATGTGAGCTCAAGGTCAGTCTGAACTGCACAGCAAAACCCTGTCTCAAAAAGCCAAAAAACAATAAAAAAAATACAAGATAAATAAATAAAAAACTAGAGGTTCCATTTGACCCAGCTATTCCTCTTCTAGGTAGTTTCTCAAGAGTTAAAAGTCATCATACCATAGCATGCATACCCAGGTTTATACCAGCATAATTTACAGAATCTAAATCTTGGAAACAGCCCCTATACATATCAACAGATGAACAGATAAATGTGGTGTTCATACACAATGGAGTATTACTCTGCCATAAAGAATGTGAGACATGGCTGGGGATTTAGCTCAGCAGCACAGCGCCTGCCTGGCAAGCGCAAGGTAGTGAGTTTGATTCCCGGTACCAGAAAAAAAAAAAAAACCAAAAAATAAAAAAATAAAAGAATATGCTACATTTTTAGATAAATGGATGTACCTCAAAACCATAATCTTAAATAACTCACACAAGTTTAAATCTTTGTGTGCATGAAAAAAAAACCCAAAGTACAAATAAGGAGTACTATGTAGGATAGATATTAAGAAGTAGAACATTTTCAAAGGGGAAGGGGAACAAGTGGAGAGTGAAGGGAAAACAGTTAAAAAAAAAAATGGAAAGAGAGCTTTTGCAAATGGGGATGGGAAGAAGGGTTAGCGGGAGGGGAGGAAACAAAAACAAGAATTAAGAAGTGCTATGTACATATACTGAATACAGATATACCTGAAAATAACAGGCTCACTGGCAACAAATCCTGTTAAACTGCTTATGCTTTTTCATATTAATTCTGAGTAGTTACAGAGCTGTATTTATCTAGACACAGAACTGAATACACTCAGAAACAGAAAACCTGACTATATATATAAAACTTCTAAAGACTGTAATTTGGCTTACAATGCTCCAAACTATGCCAGAGACCAGTGAATGGTCTAATTCTAAAAGCATCAAATTCAGTATCTACAAAAGAGACACAGTATTCCGAAAAAAAAATTGGCAATCAGTTTTTTTGGGTTTTTGTATTTGTTTTCATTTTGTGAGATGGGGTCTCACGATGTGGTTTAGACTGGCCTTGAACTCATGGTGATCCTCCTGCTTCAGCCTCCTCAATACTGGGATTAGTCAACAGTCACGCACCACCACGCCTGGCTTTTGTTCTTGTTTTTTAAGGCAAGGTTCTGCGATGTAGATCAGGCTGGCCTTGAAATCAGTGATCCTCCTGCCTCAGCCTCCTGACCACGTCCAGCCCAGAACCAGCAATCTTAACACCAAACATCATTGAATAGAAACATATTGCTAATACAATGATGCGAAAGAAAAAAAAAAAAAAGACACATCCTTTCCTTTTATATTTTAATATATTACAAAGTAACAGTACAAATGCTGTGATTATTATTAAAAAAGGATCCAAATTTTTCAACTAGTGAATTTTATAAACAATTCTGCAATTGAAGGGAAACAGTATCTTGATACATAAAATTTTTAGGATTTTAAAATTTTAAAAGCAGAAAAATGTTAACATTAAATTCTTTCCAAATGTTCAAACAAAAATCAACTTGTACAATGTCCATAACAAAATGTATCCTTGGTACATGTCTTGGGCACTTGGAAAATGTTAAAATTTCTGAAGTTTGAGTGAGAGAGGCAGCACATAACAACTTCATGAATCTTTTTTTTCGAAAACGAATGCTTTCAGTAAAACATTGTACCATTTTATGAGTATACATTGTTATTTTTGTTCTTCCTGAAAAAGGGAATTAACATTAATACTGTAATTTTCCATGTAAAAATATACACCTATGGATATTTCATGTACAGATACTTAAGTTCCTGAGTGACCAGTCATACAGCAAACATGATTTAATAAAAAATTTCTAAAACTTTAGAATAGCACGTGTAGATTTATACTTGTATAGGGTAAGAACATGTCACAGAATTTATACTTAAGTTCTCTAAATTAACCAAAATTATTTATCTACTAACAACTAGTAACTTCCTGAAACTGTTAATAAATCATAGAAAAATTATATTTTCTAATTTATTAACAAAATAGCCATCTGAGACTATCAACTTAAACTTCATATTGTACCCACCAAAACTGGATTCACTTAACACAAAATTTCTTGCAGTACAAAAAATTAAAATACTTGCTTTATAATACAACCATCTTTGAGGTCTGATCAAAGTATACGGGAATGTTTAGATTTTAAAACTGTTACAGCAAAAGACACATTGCTGCCATGGCATTATAACAATGTGTCTTTTACTATAATTTTCTTCTTTTAAATTTAAACGTTGTATTATTTTTTTAATCATGCCTGGTATACACTCCACCCTTCTGAAGCTGTCTAAATGATTAGGAACTGTGGCACTTTCTTTTGCGTAAAACCCTTTCCTCTTTATAAAACCCTGAGGTGAAAGGTTACTAGTGAAATAAAACTGGAACCACAAATTTTCTCATTTCTCTATGAAATGGTAACTGTAGATTGTTTAAAAAATGTGACAACTTGAAACTGTTTTGTACAGTTTTTCAAAATATTTTCAGCTCAACTTAGTCAAAAAGAGCCTAAAATGACCCTAAAAAAACAACGTCCTTTTAATGTTTGCTAGTGCCGAGATGAGCGCCATTTTCCATCTCTACTGCTGTCCCTTCTGTTATCATAATCATGGCTCCAGCCATCATGATTCCTGTCTTCATAGAGGAAGTCTTCTCTGTGTCCTCTGTAATGGTGGTCAGACCCGTGATCAGCATAACGCTGCTCTCGGCTGTAATGTCTGTCTGCTAGGTAGGGATGAGAATTCTGTCTGATTTTACGCTGGGACTGGGATGGTGATGTATCTTGGCGCCACTGGGAGCCTGGAGACTGGTTAAAAGTATGATTGTGTGACTGAACTGATGGTGAAAATCCTGATTGATCCATGTGTGGAGAGCCAAATTTCCCTCCATATGGCATCTGTCTCAAAACACTGTTCATCTGAAGGAAAAGAAAAAGAAAAGATATTAACTGCAAATATTCCTAGATATCAAAGTTGATTATACATACACTTAGTCATAATTAACCCAAGAGCCTAGACCGGTGGTGGCAAACCTCCAGCACGGTGCCACAGTGGACTGTTTGTTACTAAAGCTATAAAAGCTTCATCATCATTGGCCTAGATGGATCATAAGTTAAATGTAACTATAATACAATACAATCAATCTCTCTGTTCATCTGAAAGAATACCTAAAAGATACTTGCACAAAAATATTACCCCTTGCTCTGAAGAACATAATTTAGAAAGGAAAAGTTCATAAAAAATAATAATAATACAAATCACTATGTAATGAACATATAAAAAACTGAAAGCATCCTTTGCTATTTTGTAAAACGTTGTCAATCTGTTAGTATTTTCCTCCTTTTATTTCTAAAATAAAAAAAATAAAAAAAAAAACTGAAAGCTCAGTATCACTAGGAAATGCTTCATAAAGGTGTCATACGATCTGCATATTAAAAGAATGAAGTATTTTAAGGAAAATATTTCAAAAAGGAGATATGCCAAGGAATGAAAACGGCTAACAAAAATTAAAAGGAAAATACAAAATGGTGTTAAACAAGAGCAAGTAATTCTAGTTGAAAGAGGTTACAGATCTTAGAAGTAACAGTAAAATCTAAGTCTAGAAGGGTTTATTAGAATCAGATTATAGCAATTTCTCATTACTAAGCTAAAAAAGTCTGACAACTTGCAAATAGTGGAAAGTAAATGAGTAGGGAAAAGACACAAAATAGGGTTGGTAACATTACTTGGACAGAAGCATGATAATTTATTAGGTCAGTGGTTCCCAAATTCTGCTTGTGCATAGGTAGCATTTTGCAGATGAATACAATATGAAAGTTTGGGGACCATAAGCTGAGATTGTGGTTTGGGCAAAGTAAATTTAAAAAGGAATTAATGAATGTAAGAACTATGGAAGATTTTTTAAAAAAAGGAGGATGTGGTAAAGGAGTGGAAACAAAATTGAAATAGAAAAAGATAGATATGAGCCAATTATGGTGGTGTATGCCTGTAATCCTGGAACTCTGGTAGGCTGAGGCAGGAGGATTTTAAGCTCCAGCCCAGCATGAGCAACTCACTAAGACCCTGCCTCAAAGCACAAGAAGGGCTGAGGATATAACTCAGTATAAAAGTCCTAGGTTCAATCCCTAGAATTACACACACACAAACACAAATAAATAATAAAAACACAGCTAAAATTTTAAGCTTAGTCATGTAGTGATGTCTGGAAAACTCAAGTATATTAAAATACTAGAGTCTGTGATAAGTTTATGATTCAAGAAAGGTAAAGAGTTTCAGGAAATGAATCTGCAAGTATTTGTATATATACAGTAAGTACTGCTGAAGACAAATATACATGTAAAATGAAGTTTTCTATTTATCTTGTCTTCTAAGCATACATGTCAGCCCAGTTAAAACACAGTATTATTCAATCTAGAAAGATCAGTCTAATAAAACTTTGAGGCTATGTTAAATTTTCAGGCATGGTGGCATACACAGGAACTCCAGCTACTGAGGTGGTTGAAGCAGGATTCCAAGTTCAAAGGTGGTCTGGGAAACTCAGACCTTATCTCAAAATAAAAGTTGGTTTTACAGGACTAGGGTTATATGTCAGTGGCAGAGTGCCCCTGGGTTCGACCCCCAATGCCCCCCACCCTAGAAATAAAATTTCCAACCGGACAAAATTAAAATCATTTATACAATATAACATGAATATTTTAAGAATGATTTCATTTTAACATGTCAAGTAAAAAAATATTAGCCTACCACTGCTTGTCTCTGATAATTTTCTGGAGAAGAGAATGACCTCTGAATTATCTGTGATGATGGTGTCATGCTATCCACAGCCCTTTCATATCTGCTAAAAAAACACAATCATTCATTCAACACGTATTTACTAAACTCTAACGGTCAACAAGACACAGTTCTCAAAGTTGACAATTAGTAAGACCCAGACAAGGAGAGGAACCAAACAGATAATGTCACATGATTATAAGTGATACAATGTAAAATTAAAAGATCCAGGGGAGGTGAAAAATAAAGTTCTATTTCAGCTTGGCTGATCAAGGACAATCTTGCTAAGAAGGAGACATTTAAGAGTCAAAGCTGATTAGTAAACTTACCTGGAGACAAAACATTCTCAGCTGAGGGAAGGGCTAGGGCAGGGCTGGGCAAACTACAGTGGGCCAGATAGGTTTGTAAAGCAAAGTTTTTACTGGAACACTGCAGGCTCTTTTCTCTATGGCTACCTTAGTGCTACAATGGCAGAGACTGTACAGCCTGCAAAGTCTAAAGTCTTAACCATCCGATCCTTCATCAACAAACTTACCAATCTCTGAGCTAATGCACAAGCCCAGACAGAGAATTAAAATGGAAAGGATTCCATAGACTAGTTACGAAGGACAAGGGAAGCACAATGAAGAAGAGATAAAATTTAGACATTTTTCTGTTTGAGAAACTGGTTAGACATGTACTCACACACGAAAAAAGAATAGTTCTGGTAACAACCAATTATTTGTCATATAGTTTTGATTAAAGATCCAGTGGAGGGTAGAAAAGCAGAGGTTCTCTTTTATGTTTTTAACTTGGCTTTTCTTTTTTTAAATTTATTTTAACGATAAAAGAATGAAACATTAACAAACATGCATTTACAAAATAACATAAAATACAAACACCACAAAATTTCAGACAAGGTGATAGGAAATTAACTTGGTTTTTCTTAAACCAGGGTATATACCTGTATACTAAGACTTTATTATTATTTCATCCATTATTCAATTTATATTATGCATAGTAACTTTGATTAAAACTATTTACCTGTGTATTTTTTCACTTGCTTATATAACCCCACCTCCACTGTCTCTTTTTTTGTTTGTTTGTTTTTTGTTTTTTTTGGTTTTCTCCGGTACCGGGAACCGAACTCATGACCTTGCGCTTGCCAGGCAGGCGCTTTGCCGCTGAGCTAAATCTCCAGCCCCCTCCACTGTCTCTTTATGGCCATCCAATTATCTCCTGCTCTCGACATCTCCTTAATCCTAATCACCAACCTAGTTCAGATAACTTCCTTTCTACTTCCTTGCAACCCTGTTTAGGTAACTTTCTTGCTAATACCAGTATTTTGCTACCAACAGTTTCCAAAATGGTTTATTTTTACTCTTGTCCCTTCTAAACCAGTCTTTCATTGCAACCAAACAAATCTGTAAAATACAAACTTCCTATCATTAACCTACCTAAAACATTTTAATGCCTTCCTACTGTTTTTAGGATAAAATCCCCCCAATCTTAATTATAGCCTATTCTAAGAGATACCATCCAGTCTCCATCAACATCACCTACTGCTCTGTACTCTCTTTATGATCTAGTTACGCTGGGTTCTTTCAGTTCCTCATCTGTATCATCTCCTACTGCCAAAATTTTGTCAAGTACTTTCTTCTAGTTCACTTAAGAACTAATTATAGTAATTAAATAGAGTCACAAAATATATACCTAACATATATCTTAATCTAGACTTAAAGCTGCACTTGGCAATATGTCAATACCAATGCTAGGTCACACTGCCTACATGTGAATCCCAGCACACTGAAAAATGTTCAACATTACTGGCCATTTGATAAATCCAGATTACAACACTGAGATTCCATCTTACTCCAGAAAGAACGGCTATCATCAAGAAATCAAATAACAAGCACAGGCAAGTATGGAGAAGTCTGAGGTGGGTTCCTACTTTGCTAGTAGGAATGTAACTAGTACAATCGTACAATCATTATGGAGATTCCTCAAAAAACTAAAACTATAAATTCCATTTGACACAGCTATTCCTCTTTTAAGTATCTTCCCAAAAGAGTTCAAGATATATTAGTGTTACACGCACACCTAAACTTATAACACAACTCATTATAGTTAAATCTTGGAAGCAGCCTGTATGTCCATCAACAGATGAACAGGTAAAGAAAATATGGTATTTATACACAAAGGAGTACTATTCTGCCATAGGTAGGATAACTTCAGTCATTTGTAGGAAAATGGATGTACCCTGAGACTATATTAAGTGAAATAAATCAGATATACAAACTTAAATATCTCATTTTCTCTTACATGAAAAACCCAAAAACATAAATAATTTCATGAGGAAAATAAAAGATAATACAAAATAGGAAGTCAGATCACCTACCACTGGGAAGGGGAATTAGAGAAAGAGAGAGTATAGAGGGAAAGGAGGTCAAGGTGAAGCAAAAAGAATTCAGATGTGCTATATACACTGAATGTAATCAGTATGTACAGCAAATATGGACTAATGAACATAAAAAAAATTACCTGCTAGGAGATGTAGAGGTAGGACTTGAATTTCCAACATGATGCTGGGGATATGATAAACTGATGTCCTGTGAGGCATGACTACTTCCTAAAATAATTTCAAGAATTCAAATAGAAAACTTAATTTCAACCTATGCCTCCCCACCCCAAATCACTCCAGAGGAGTAATTAAAGTTTAAAAGAAAAAAATTTCAAGTTATTATGAACTTCTTTATAGCTTTCAAAGTATGTAATACCAGATATACATAACAAAGCATTCCAAACAAGGCACTATTTAGTGTATAAATATGCAGTGTGGTCATATTCCAATCCTCACACTAAGTTGTAAGACAGAATATATGGAAAGTTTCACCCTTACATGATCAAGAATTAAAATTTGTGAAAGTAACTTACAAGCAGCCAGGATAAGCACTTTCAGAAAACAACACATGCTGCTTTAAAGAGCATGAATCCAAACCCAAATGCCTCTAATAAAGCTCATGTGGTATTTTCAGTAAGCCAAAATGAAAAATTGTAAACAGTTTTAAATTTTAATCTTCAAAACCCATGTGTCAATGTAAATCACTTTCAGAGATTAAGTGTACTATTTATGAAGGCTAAGAAAGTATTTTACCCCAAGAAAGGTTACTTAAAACTGCATAATAAATTTAAAAACAGATAAACATAGTAGCAAACAACCCTTCTCCCCCTATCATGGAAGAGTTACCTGATCTAAACTGAATTTTGATGGGCCTTCCAAAAAGTTTGATTCCATTAAGTAGATTCATTGCATAAGGAACAGATACTTCATGTTTAAAATTCACAAACGCAAACTGCTTTGGTTTACCATCCTTATCTTTTGGAATTTTCACCTTTATTACTGGCCCAGCCTACAAAAAAGTGTTGAGAATTTAAATAAGGCAATTTCAGAGAAATACTCAAATTTTACAAATAAAAGAGAACACAGAGTTGAAAAAACAGACGCATCATCAGAAACTTAAAACGGCTTTTCATTTTGGTTAGAATGAAAATCTTCGTTATGCCTGACAATTAGATTAACTTATTTGGAGAACGAGCCCCATAAGGAGCTAAAAACGCACTCCGTGAATTTACACTTCACACCACAGAACGTTTTAAAAAGGCGACCAACAGATATCACTTTCCCACTCCATGGGAAAACAGAGTGTCAACAGTAGGAGGAAGTGACTTTCTCAGGCTAAAAATTCCATTCGTATCGATTGATTCATACATAACCAGTTACGGGTGTAACTGGGCTGGGAGCAAAGGGATATTTCAAAATTTTCACACATTTTAATACAGAACACTACTATGCTGCTTTTCTGCATAGGATTTTTTGGTTTTCGAAACAGTTTAATAATCTTGCAATTTTGCAACTAACTTAGGCGCCAACACACAGAGAAAGTGAAATAGTGTATCGTCGGAGTTAGACGCACCAAAGACAAATCATCTTACAAAGACCACAGAAAGAGGAAAACGCAAAAGCACTGCTCCACGAAGACCCCACGCGCATTATTACGTCCCTGAGGACCCCGCATCTGCACGACGAGAACGCCTGATCGCGGGCTCCTCCACCACCTTTGGTCGTCAGCCTGGGACGGAACCACCTACGGTTCTGCTAATAAAGCGACACCCAGCGACGCCCGCTTCCCCCCTCCGAGGCGCGCGCTCCGTTCCCAGACAGCCCAGCTCCGGCCAGGACAGCGGGGCGGGCCGAGGGCCAGGCCCCAGGCCACCAGGAAAACCAAACGCCACGGGGGTAACCCCAACCACCACTGACCTGGTGAAAGAGTTCGAACAGCAGCTCCTCGGTCACTTTAGTTTCAAGGTTGCCCACAAAGAGAGTGCGGTCCGCCTCCGCCGCCGCCGCCCCCATCTCAACGTCGCCCCCTCCCCACCGAGGCTGAAGGGTCGGGCCGACGCAGCGACTGCGCAAACTCGAAAACCCCACGTCCTTACGCTCAGGCGTCGTGACGTAAACGTCTGTCACGCCAGAGCTCGGGCGGTGTGAGCGTGCGCGCGCAGTGCGCCTGCGTAGAGGCTGACGGCAGCTTTTCGGCCCGGCGGTAGTTATGGCGTCGGAGGTAGGGGCTCTGTGCCGTAGAGTCCGGCTGGAGTGATCTGTGGAGCGGCGAAGAAGCTTCCCTGACCTACGGACGTAACGTAGACACTGCTAGCAGTGTCTGAAGATGGCCCTGAACTATGCGACCCTGTGCGCCGGCGATCAAGGGAACGGGGTGGCCCACCGCCCTGCGCACGGCGACCTCGGCCAGGCGGCCTTGGCGTTGGCGATGGTCTCTGGAGACAGCTTCCTCGTTGGCAGACCTGAGCTGGTTTACCCCGGACCTCCGCAGGCCGTGCGACTGAGCGCTCGGACCCACGGCCGAAGAATGCCTGGCGTCCGGAATCCGACCCTCCTTATAAAGGGAAGAAAACTGAAGGGTGGAAGGCGATTCGGCGCAATCAGATTCTCTCCTTATACCATCCCTAGGGTGGACTCCGTCTGTTAGGAAGTGTGCTGCGGCAGCCTCTGATGGCATTTGGAGGGGTCTCAACTCGAATTTCAGCCTAAAACGAATGCTTCCCCTTGCTTAGCTTGCGAACAAGGCTACTTTAAAGTCATTTTTTGGTGTGACTGCAGTTTTATTTTTTAAAAAGATGTACTTTCATTTTATTATAAAAAGTGTATGTAGGCGTTTGTAATACAGCCTAACTCAAAGAAAACTTTACTATTAATCCTGATGTAGCCGGAGTGAGTAGCTCAGGAAGGAGATAGAAGGGATTTTCTTTTTAGCTGAGCAACAATCGTATAATTTGACCATTGATTCCCTTTATTTGAAACTTGTAATTCGAGCTTCTTTCCATAGCTGTCTTCCTCTTTACCTGAGACTCTTCCTTGTAACTGGGGTTGGTTTAAAAAAAACAAGTGTTCCTTTTTCTTAAACTGGTTTAGCCTTCCACCACCGCCACCCCC